CATGTTATTCTGATCGTGTGAATAAACCAGAAGGGAGCACAGGTCAGACTCTAAGGAGTGAGGTCAGCCAGGCATGGCTGGGTTCTAGGAGCCACCAGAGGAGAGGGGACAGGCGGGCAAGAGGGCCACCATTTGTTGAGCACCTAGTAGGGATATTCTGGGAATCATGCGAAATCTTTTACTTACATTAGCTCATCTAAGCCTCACAACAATGCTGTGGGGTAGGTAACGTCATGATCCCCATTTTACAGATGAAAATCTGGAGGATTTGGGGGTCAAATAAATTGCCTAAGGCAACTCACGTGGTAAGGAACAATCCAGAAGTGCATCCTTAGCACCCATGTCCTCACAGCTGCCGCAGCCACCTCCCACACTGTGAGTTTTCCCTTCCCTGGCCTGAAAGGCAGTGGTCAAGCTAAGCCTGTCTGTGACGAAGCATGAAGGGAAAGGCATTTTTTATTAATATATATGGGAAGGTGCCATTTTTGTGTGTGTGTGTTTCTCTATGTAAGAAATGCCATTTGGAAAGCCAGTGTGCGTGTCAACTTTTTTTTTTTTTTTCTTTTTTTCATTCTGAGAAAAAGCCTATAGAGTCTGGTGGGGGAAGGGTTTGCAGCTGGCAGGAGCTTTGGCATATGTTGTAACTAAAAAGAGAGGGAATGTGTTGGTGGGACAAGCTACCGGAGAGCTGTCTCGGTGTGCTGCGGTACTAGTAAGTGTTTTAATTGGGTAGGGTTTTTGGAGGACTATTTTGACATCTGCTCGTGTCTTTGCTGATTTTTCTTCACTTAGAGTAGGAAACACAAGCTGTGGATGAAATGACTTTAAAATAATTGGAAGTAAAGATATCTATCTCAAAGTCGAATTTGAGAGGGATACTTTTGAAGAAGTGGAAACTAAATTCCACTTCTAGGAATCCATCCTAAAGCCAAAGCTTTATGCCTATAGATTTCATGACAATATTATATATAATAATTTCTTAAAAACTGGAAATAACATCCAACAAGAGGGGCTTGGTTGAGTTTGTTTCCATGTAGTAAAACACTCTGTAGCAATTAGTAATGATCTTTACAAAGCTTTTAATGAAATGGAGCATTGCCTATATTGTAATCAGTGAGAAAATCAGAAAGAATCATTAAGAATTATTTGAACTGTGTGTTAACATGTAGAAAGGGGAGAATATGGAAGAAAATACCCCAAAACATTGCCTCCAAATGGAGAGACTGGGTTTTCTTCTTTGAACTTTTCTGTCTTTCCCATTTTTTTATACTAGGCATATAGAATTTTCATGATGCAAAAAGAAAGTATTGTTTAAGGGAAAGTAGTCCCTGAGAGTGTTAATATAACTGCATGCCCTGAACAGATATTTATTCTGAAGTCTGAGCAATTGAATTTGGGTTATCTTCAGAAAAAGGTAAGCTTTGGAGTCAGACTGTGTTCGAAAGGTGGCCTTGCCACTCACTAGCTCTGTGACTTTGGGCAGTTTGTTTGACCCCTCTGAGCCTCCACCTACCCATTCTTACAGGGAGATGCTGCTGTCTCCCTTGCAGCACGGTTAAGATTAAACGAGCCGGCACCCAGCAACAGTCCAGCTCTCTGGCCATCAGCACTTCCCATCCCCCACCTCCAGTTTGAGTTTTTCTTGCTGTTCTTCATTCCCTTTGTTTCCTTGATCCTTTCAGGGACAGGGCACCATCCGGCTGAGCTGGCCTCCGAGTCTTTCCTTGGGAACACTGAGCTTCAGGAAGGCCCTTGAGTCCATGCCAGCCCCTTTGGAAGAGGCCTTGCCACCGGGAGGGCAGCATTGTCCTTTAAGAGGAAACTGTGCCGACCCAGCTCCTGCCTGGAGCCTGGTGCTTGGGGCATTTGGTTACTAAGGGGACCCTGGCCTACTAAGTCAGAAAAAGGGCCAGGTTTTTTCCTATTCTTCAGCCTGCGGCCATTGTTGAAAAAGTAAACACTCCACACAGCTTAACCGGCAAGTCCTCCAGCCAGGAGTGGGAAGAAATCAAAAGCCTATTCCAGCCCGGCTGTGGAGAGCCCACAAGGGCCGGTCTGTGCTGCTGGGGCCCACTGGGAACACAGAAACAAGGCCCGATTCTGATCCAGAATCAACATCCCACTCACTAGGCCTTTCAGCCTCTGAGGCTTCTCTCCAACGGCCGCTGCGCGTGCCCCTTCTGTTGGGGCCTATTTGGAAGGTCAGATGAGGCGAATAGGTGATTCTGGGGGCAGCAGCCCTCGGCTCAGCCCTTGAGGCCTAGAGTCCTCAGCTGAGCTGGGGAGCCCCTGCTCGCCCCTTCACTGGTTCTGTTCCCTGTCACTGTGCCTCACTCAGCCTCTGAAGTGAGAACCAGGCGGTTACCAAGAAGGGCCGGGAAGGGTTTTTGCCCTTAGGCCGTTGTCATTAGAGCTTTACAGACTGGCTGTAGCTGCTCTGTGTACTATAAAAGTAACAATAGTCACCATTTATTATAGCCTACTGTGTGCCTGGCACTGTGCTCATGTTACCTCTGTTCCTTACAACGGCCCAGGGGATGTGGGGTAAGGAAGGTGGTCACAGTTAGCATTTCAGCTTTACAGAGAAAGAAGCCAATTAGTAGACCTACAACCGTGGGCAAGCTACTTCACTTCTCCGAGCCTCAGTTTCTCATCTCTGGAATGGGGATAGTGATCCCTCACCTCTAGCTGCACTGATGGAAATGCAAGAATCCGTGTGGCAGTGTTTTGTGAGTTCTGAAGCGTGACATCAGTGAAAAAGATGGTTGGTGATGCTATTTTTGTAACTTCCTGCTAGCAAACTGCTAGCTGTTTAACCTGCTGGGTTGCAGAGTGAGACAGTTAAGGAGCCCTGGACAGTTCACTGTGAGCCTTAATGTTCTCCTCTTCAAAATGGGGATTGTGCTTTGCAAAACAAAAGTGCTGTAAAACACTCGTTATTTGTATTATTATCAAACTTCACCATTTGCTGATATCTTTTTACCCTATAAATAAGGCAGCATTTGGTGTGAGTGTTGGGGTTTGGAGGGGAGCATAAACTCATCTCTGCAATCTTGTCCCCCTCTGTGACTCTGAGCCCATAGTAAGTACCTAGCAAATGTTTAGAATTGACAGATAGGTTTGCGGACCAGCCCCGGTGGCCTGGAGAAGTGAGCCCATAGCAGGAGTTTGAGGCTCTGGTCATGTTAAGTGGGAGAGTTCCAGGATTCTGCCGTCTGGGAGTGTGTTTTCAACCCTAGGAGGCTTCTGACCAGCATGGCTCCACCTTCCTGCTGGAAGAATCTTGGAATGTTTACTTAGGTGCCAAGTTCTGTCCTAGAGGCTGGGGTGTGAGAGAATGAATGTCAGCCGGTGTTAGTGAGCACTTACCGGGTACCAGTCATTTTGCCAAGAGCGGGTTATTTTGCAGTGGTGGGCGAGCCCGCACCCCAGCAGGGGCAGAGAAGCAGATGGGTGCTGGGACTCAGAGTGACAAGGGCTGCGCGGAGGTCAGTCTCGCCGTGGGCATCTGATGACGAGGAGGCAGGTGGTGCCATGCAGAGCATGGCCTGTGGAGGCAGCCGTTCCTCTGTTACCTCTGCCTCTTCCCGCGCCTCTCTCAACCTCATTTTCCTCAACTTACATACCGTGAGGGTAATGACGTCCACTTTGCAGGGTTTGATAAGAATTCAATGAGGTAAGGTAAGCACAGAGCGAGAATCAATAGGCTGCTAGTACATTGTAATTATAATCACCCATTTCCAGGGCATCAGCAAACCTGGGCTTGAGCCACCATCAGATGTCTAGCTCTCTTGCTAAGTCTGTATGGTGCTCTGGGGGGAATTAGGAAAAGGCATCTGCCCCACTTCCCCGGCTGATGTCGTTCAGTAGCCACATGGGTCGGCAGATTCCATCCCCAACTTGGCTGGTTGGGCAGCCTTGGGGGATACATACCTGCACGGCCACAGGCAGTGTGCTCAGAGGGTGAATGATAATGGAATCGATCCCCTACGTGTGGAATTGTATGCCCAGTGCCCTCGTGTAGTACGCCTTCCTTCACATCCACACGTGGCCCAGTTTGGACAACAAATTATAGGGTCTTCTACTTAAAGAGGGCAAAATAAAGACAACAGTTCTAAAGCTTAAGACTCAAAAGGAATGAGCTTGATTGTGATGGGGCAGGAGGACCGACTGGGCTTGGGAGTGGTGGATAGGCAGGAGAAGAACGAAGATGGACTCTAGCAGTGGATAAATAATGTGATTAAAAATTAAAAACTGTCTTGTAGCAACGCAGACTATGGATAGTTGCTGCTGGATTTGGAGAGGGATGCTCTTTTATTCTCTTCTCCTCTCTTCGTTCACCAAACGTGAAGACCTAGTAGGCATGCGTCTCCTCACCCTTTCGGTTACTGTCACGGTAGAAAAATGGCTTATGGCCAGAGCCTCTGAGCCATTACTAGCTGGATTTCTGTAGAAAATGGGACCAAATCGAAAGTGTGACCTTCCTACTCAGCATTTAAGGGAAGTGTTAACAGTAGCCTGTACACCATATTCATACTCAAGAATGACAAAATCCCAAAGGGAGAAGGAGAAGTAGCCTTTGGTAAATGAGCGGGATGGATTGAATGTGGGTGTCATGGAGCCCAGTTGTGTATCAGTTCCTGGAGACAGAGCTTTAGATTCAGCTTCTGTTAAAAAATGTATTGGAAAAAACCTGATCATAAGGTGTAAAGATCTCTCTTACTTTCTAGCTGTGTGACCCGGGGCATGTTACTGAGCCTCTGTGACATACTTTTCACCCCTGGGACTTGGGATCATGCAAGCTCGCAGAGATTTTGTGAGAGTTAAATGAGCTAAGAAATGTGAACCCCCTAGCATTGGGCTGCCATGGAGTGAGCCTTTGTCACAGGTCACTTTTCTTCCCTCTTCCCCTTCCCCAGAGAAGGCCAGGGGAGACGTGTCCTGATGGCACTTCAATGACTTTCTCTTCTGGATTTTTTTTTTTTTTTTTTTACTTGCAGAAAGTCAGAAACATGGCCCTGGATGATGTCGTGATCCTGAACGTGGACACCAACACCCTGGAAACCCCCTTTGATGACCTCCAAAGCCTCCCAAACGATGTGGTGGGTAGTGAGTTCACACGGCGGAAATGAACGTGACTTTGGGGGACGTGGAAGGAGAGGCGGCCGTGGTTTTCCTGTGGCCTGAGAACTGCAGTTCGTTTCCCTGTTCTCTCTGCAACCTTTGTCTCAGTGTAGAAAGGTAGAAGGTGGTTTATTTTTTGAGTCTTGTTTTGCTCTTCTGACTTTCATCTGAGAGACTGAAGTGATCTCAGTGTCTAGACATCTCCTCTGTCTGTGGGAGCCTGGGGTCTTGCCACCTCTCTCCAGAGACCAGAACAGATCCTCTGAGTGACACCACAGAAGGCAGGTGGGAGGGCTTTCGGTGTGAGTGACTTGGGAAACTGTGAACTTACTTGTTTTCCCCTAGACCTCCATCACACAGCTGCTTCCCCACGTAGCAGAGCATCTGATGCCGGTGCTCTGAGGGTGGCTGCGTGTCCTCCAAATAGCTCTCTGTCACCTCGGGTCTAGAGAGAACGCAGGTTCTATTGAGCAAAAAGTAACTGGCTGCTGCCTTTGCCACACTAACGTCTGACTACACACCTGTCTCGGTGCTACTCAGAGTTGCCTCGTGGGCAGCTGTTTGAAGTGCACCCGTTCTCCCCAGTTGCCTGTACAAAGGAGGACTGGGCTTCACCAGAAAGTATGGTTTTACTGTTTCTGGTTTGACCTCCATGGCTCTTCCTGCTAGAAGAGCTAGAAAGTTATTCTGACTTTCAGATTGAAAGGAGTCGATCTTCTTGGCCACATGGTTCTGATACGGGGCTCGGGTCTGTGCCTTGGTAGGCGAAGTGTTTTACCTGGTGGGCACTGTGCCTCATCACTGCCAGGAGCCTCCGTGACACCACGTGGTTTTGCTGTTTGTTGATGAGTGGCTTGCAACAGGATTTCAAACTTCTCTGCTCTTAACTCACTGTGAGATTTTTCACAGAGTCATTTGTCCTCCGTAATGATGTTTCACTTGTAACATAATTCAACAGTGGCTACCATTCATTGACTGGCTGCGCTGGGCACTGTGTCGTTGACCTCTCACTTCCACTTCGCACCACTCTGAGGAAGGCGTTGTCTTCACTCCCACTTTGCCCACAGAGCCAGAGAGAGGTGGAGCAATGTGGGAACCTAGCCCTGTGGGTCGACGGGGCCCCCTTGCCCTTCTAGGTGCCTTCTGCACTCAGGATCTCAGTCAGTTAGCATCATAGCCCTAGGGGGTAGGTGGTCTCTCCTTTTTTTAGGGAGAAAAGAACCTCGGAGAGCACATGCCTTGCTACAAGTTCTTTGGCTGTTTAGGGGCAGAGCTGAGATTGGGACCCCCATCTGGATGATGCCAGAGGCTATGCTGCCTCCACTCTGTGCACACAGAGAGATGACAGAATTTAGGAAAATTAAAGTGCCACACAGGCATGAGAACTGCAGGCAGTCATGTCAGGACAGGGTACGTGGTTGGTGTCTTAGGGCCTGCTGGCCGTAATTTGATAGTTCTGTTGGTCCAAGGAGTCTGAGGCTTCCATTCCTGCTTCCTTGCAGTGGACAAGTACTTCTTTAAGCCGTGGGTATCTCAGGCATGGACCTGGCAGTTGCTGAGTGAATGAGGGAAGTGAACCTGAGGTACATCAGGTGCAAGAAATGGCCAAGGGCCCTGGGGCAGCCTGAGATGACTGGCTGGCAGCTCAGAAACCATGGAGTGGACTGACTGGCCCCACCTGCACTGCTCTGACCCTGTGCTGTCACTGAGCAGCAAAGAGGAAGCAGATCTTCAAAGCATATATGCCAGTAGGGGAAACAGATGTGTCAGTTACGTATATATTACAGTATAGCATAATAGGGACCTCAGGGAAATAGGGAGCAAGGCACAGAAGGGCCCGGGAGAGAGAGTAACAAAATTTGCGGGAGTATAATGGAGGCTTCCTAAAGATGGCAGATTCCAAGATGCCTTTTAAATGATAAACGAGATGGCCTCAGGGAACCAAAGGAACTTGGACAAGTTATGTTCCCCCTCTGAGCCTCAGTTTCCCACTTTAAAAAAGGAGTCCCAGGTCTGCTCGTAGGATTATTGTGGTAAATAGTAATGGGATGTTCACCAAATGCTTGCCACAGGGCTTGCATGTTATCAGAGTTCCATAAATGGTACCTGCATTTGTTTTTAATAAAATCGTGGTTGATAATTATGGGCAAGATTGGGGGGACAATTAATTCCCTCCACATCCAGACAGTCTCAGCCTGCACATTGGGACGTCCTGTCTGCAAGCTAGTTTGTAGCAGGGTTGCAAATATTCTACAGCAGTGGTTTCCAGCGTGGGGCTCTAGATTCATTAAGGATTCTGAAGGTAGTAATGGGGATGGAAAGTGGTCCAAAGGTACTTACTGTATATCAGTGGGATTCATAGATTTGAATAATGCTACATGAGCTCAGGTTCTCGAGAGGAGAAATCATTTCGTTTCCATTTTATGTCCCTGCATTTGGCATAGGACCTGATACTTTTAGAGCATCAGCATGTCCATCCTTGACCTTACAATCTCCCCTTTTGCCAAAGATGCTTGTTTACTACATCCGACAGATTCTGCTTCTTAGACATTTTGCAAATCCACATTCTCTTCTTCATCCCTCCAAACGACCACCTAATCCGTGCTCTTATTTCTCTCCTGCACTTTTACCAACAGCCTCAAAACTGCTACATCTGACCCCAGCCTTGTCCCTCCACTCCATCTTCTTCATGTACCAGAGTGACCTTTCCAAAATATAAATTAAACTGTATTTCCCTCCTACTTAAAACTGTTCCAACAATGAACGTAATTTAAAACAAAATATTTTAAAGATAAAATATCCTTCCATAACTGCCCATTGCCTATAGGTTCAAGGCAAGTTCCTTTTGTTGGCTTTGGAATCAGGCCTGTGTTTAAACCCCGGCTTCCTCACTTACTGGCCACATGATCTTAGGCAAAATTACTTAAGCTCTCTGAACCTTAGTTTCCTCTTAAGGTTATTGTGAGAATTGAATGTAAGAGACATAACATATTCAAAACATATCCTGTAAGTGCAGTGTGTGATAGTTGATGAATTATGGATGTAAGTGATGACTAACATGGCACTCAAGGCCCCTTTCTGGTATGATCCTCCCATTTTGGGGGAGAGGAGTTTTCTATAGCTTTAGCTCTCTCCCCTCCCTGGTTCAAACTCTATATTCTAGGTGTTTGGAACTATTAGTAGTTGTCCCAAACTTACATGTTGTTTCATAACTCCAGACTTTGCATACAGGGTTTCTTTTGTCTTAAATGTACCACCTTATCTGTTAATCTCTTACTCATTCTTCAAGACTTACTGTAAACATAATCCGATTCAAAACAAAACAAAACAAAACTTCCCTGACCTCTTCAAGTAAATTTGACCGTATCTTTCTCTTTCTCTATGTCTCCACAGTCCCTTGGGTTGCCTGTATAATTATACTGATTAATTACTCATTTCTGGCTTTTGCCTTTTAATTGTGAGTTCTTTAACGACAGGAATCGAGTTTTACTCATCTTTGTTTTCCAAGGATCTAACAGCCACTGAATAGATAGATAGAAGGATGGAAGGCACATACGGATTGGGTTATTTTGGTAGATGAAATCTTGCAATGCATGGCATCCATGCTGGAAACTTCATTAAAAGAGGCTTTGATTCTGCTCCTAACCACAATAGAATAATTGGAACTGGATTAATCCTCCCACCATTAAGAATTAAAACTCTGGACAAATATGAAAAAAACTTTTTTCACATATTGAGCAATAGGCAGTTCAGAACTGCGATCCCTGAGTGCAAGGAAACAAGCGAGGTGAGGCCTGTCATCCCACTGGTTTCTGCCTTGAGGCATTTTCTGGACGCTGGTTGGTGCTAGAAGGGGACTTGCCAGCAAAGCACAACAGTCTTGCTGAGTTGAAAGGTTAAAGAACCATTTGAAGGAGAAATCATTTAAGTTTGTGGGTAGAATACCAGACAGGAGGGAGCTATTCAGCAAAAGATCTCCAGAAATCTGAATCAACTAACCTGCTAAGGACTGAGCTGCCCACATGGAGGGTGAAACTCCTGAGAGGGGACTAGTACTCAGAGCTCACACAGGTCTAGGAATCATTCACATTCTGACCAGCCAGAGTAAAGAGATCCTGTTCAGCTCTCAGGATAATCACTAGAGACACTAGGAGGCTGTGACTTGATGGTAGGTCTAAATTAGCTCTAGAGTAAAGGTTATTTTATCCCTGCCCTGCAGAGCTGAAAATCAGACTTGAGAGACATAAAGAGGGCTTTAGGGGTGCTGGTAGTGTGCTGGGTTTTTTTTTGTCTCAATGACAGCTACATGAGGAAGAATTCATCAAGCTATACACCAATGGTGTGTGCCTTTTTATGTGTGTATGTTAAACCTCAATAAAAAGTTTTAAACAAACCTATTTCTTTTTTAAAAAGACTTAAAAAGGTCAACCTGATGGGCAAGAAATCTACCCACCTGTAAAAATAAACTTCAACTCTCTTTAAAAGAAGACAACAAAATCTAACACTCAAAAATATAACATTCACAGTATGTAACATCCTATTTAAAAAGTGCAAGACATGTTGAGAATCAGGAAAATGTCACCCCATTGAAATTAGTCAATGGAAACAGACTCAGAAATGATGGCTATTATAGAATTAGTAGACAAAGACCTTAAAAGCAGATAATATAAAGATTATAAATATGCTCATGAATTTAAAGGAAGACATGATCTACTGATCTAAATGAGGAGAGAAATGGAAGATATAAAAAGAATGAAAGAGAACGTCTAGAAGTGACAAATATAATACCTGGAATTTAAAAAAATCACTTGTGGGATTAGAGGTGATATGAAACTGCAGAATAAAAGATTAATGAACTTGAAGACACAGCAATAAAAACTATCCAATATGAACCAGAGAAAGGGAAAGACTGGAAAAAGTTAACAGAATTCAGTGTGACCCCATAGCATAATATCAAGAGGACTAACATACATATAAT